TGAAAAATACAAATATCATAAATATAAATATTTTTACATAGATATACAAAATGTCTCGTTGGTTTCGCACAGCTTATAGGCACATGGACCTTTGAGTTACCTTTCTTTGATTCCGTTTCCTTGCTGCCCGAGTTGTTCTCGGCGACAAGTTTACACAAAGATTCCACTTTTTTTGAAAGCTCTTCGAACTTTAACTAAGGCATTTTCTTCATCGTGCTGCCTCAATTGCTCTATCAATGATTGGTTTTCTTTCAAACTATCATCCAATAGCACAGTATAACTGTCTCTCACGCTGATGTGGTCGGAAATTCTTGACATTTTGAAAGAAAAAAAAGAGTCCACAGATCACTTCACACGCCAAAAGTAAAGCCAGGAGTAAAGGTCGGAAATTCTTGACAATTTGACTTCCGCTCAGGTTGTCGAAACGTCAGTCACCATTACCGACAACAGTCCTTCTCAGGACTACACTCACCCGGACGATCAAACTACACTATTACATGTTAACCTCGGGTTCAAACCATTTGCTGTACTAAATCACCTGTTATACTCTCTCGCCGATCTGCGTCAGCCTCGTTTCTATGTATTTTCGTCGCCAGGGACTCTTCATCAAACGTCCCGAGGACTAAAACCATTGACAGTCGGATCTTAAAGTTCGACAATCTTATTATTACAAACATCAGAGCATCACGCTTCCATACGTCATTGCAAGGTCCATTTGCTGGAAAAAAAAAAATGATTGTCTCATCACGACAACTTCCTGATCATGAGTTTGAACGCGCGTTAAAAAAAGGGTAGTTTAAACATATTTATGCGAACAGAAAGTTTAGAACCGGTGTAAAAGACAGAATACAGATGCTGAAAAAGAATTAAAAGCACGTAAAGACTGATTATGCGAAGGAAAAGTTAAGGGTCGTTGAGGATTCGTAAAGAAATTAAAAGGTTCGTAAAGAACAGTGAGTAAAGATGCGTAAAGAATATTAAAGACGAGTAAAGAGTTAAAAGCGAAACTGGTCAAAATACCTCGATAACTCTACTGAAGATGGATGAGCCATAATTATTTCACTTCTTTGAGTATTTCTCCAAATTGATAATTGATAATTATATCCATCTTGATCCTTATCCTTTACGAACATTTAATATCCTTTACGCAGTCTTTACGCTTCCTTTGCAATTACCCATCTTTACGGAACGTGGAACTTGTCCGTAAAGAAGAGGCTTTATATTTACGTTTCTTTACGTAAGCCGAGTTAAAAATGCGTAAATTTGCGATTTCATACTGTGGGTAACGCCAATTAGTGGTGATAATTGTAGAATTATCCCACTCAATTGTATGGTTAGTTGGGCATGTGTGCTCCGATAAAGCTGAATTTTCCTTTTGTAAAAGAAAACCGCTTGTTGATGCTCTTTCAAACGTGTACCAAACTAACGTTTGGTCTGTCTGATGTACTCGTTGTCACAGTCATTGCTGGGAATTGAATAAATGGGGTCGGTTCGTTGTTCTTTCGTGATAGGTTCCTTAAGTTTGGCGAAAATATGCCCTAAAGTCTGAAAAGGTTTTTGAGCAACTTCAACTTCAACTCCGCCCACGCTTCTTTAAATCGTGACGAAGGCGGCTTGCTTCCTGACGACTGTTTACACCTCGTCAGAAAAAAAAAAGGCAGCTAATTTGAGATCATATAAAAGGACCTCTTGTTGCAGCGTTTAGTTCACCCCTGGTGAAGGCACCAGACAGGAGTGTCGAAACGTTGGGTCTATGAATTGTAACTTCTTGGGTTACATTCATTAAATCTGTAAACCAGAGTAGCATCAAACCATGTCTGATTGTCCAGCTGGTTGCCGTGTGAACCTCAATATATTTTAAGTTCTTGTAGAAATAGGAACGGTAGAAGGATAGGATGAAGGCCTTTTCAAATTAAGCAGCCAGCGCTCGGCCTGGTTTTGAACCACGGAGGGTTGCCACGAGAAGTTGCTGCACAAAATTTGAAACGGCCTGCATGCTTTGGTCGCAGAGTTTGGCACCGATCATATTTAGAAAGCTACACTCTTTTATTTCAGGATCGATTTTCTCAGAAAATGTCTGAGGGATGAAGCTCAAATTTGGCGAAGACATAGAGCAATATCTCAGAGATCAACAACCGTCACCAGTTAGGAGAGATTTTTAGGCATTAATTCCAGTTTGAAGTAGGGGAGGTCGCGGCTGGCGGCCACTAAGTTGCAAGCCTTGTCTCCCTTCTCTCAACAACCTTCGGCCAAAAGTAATTTGGTAAAAGACACTTCAAACGGCCAATGAAGGCTAAAAGAAATACCACAAATAAGTTGATTAACAGCTTATTTAACTTTATAGAGATATTCAGACCGAGATGTAATTTAAATTTGCAATTTTCAGGGCTTTATTCATGACCCTCTAGATTTTGTTCGTCCTATGTCAACAATTATTAACCACGAAAATATATTGTGGTTGGCCCGTGGTAGCTCTAAGAGCAGCGAGGAAAAAGTTTTTAAACAGGGAAAATACTACGAACCTGCTCTTTTTGAGCGGAATCATAAGCTTTTTGGATTTATTCCACAACGGCACTAATTCTCATAAAAAATTCTAGAAATAAAAGGAAAAAAAATTCATGTTACTGTCTCACGCTTGATAGCACTAGTTATGCAAATTAACGATAAGTAACGTAGGTGGCACTTTATTAAAACTGTAATTTACAGAAAGCATTGCCACAGTGCTACATAGTTCTACATTGTTACGTTTTTCTGAGCTATTTCTTTACTCTGACTTCATCCTTAATATCAGTGAAACTAATATGCCATCATCGACTTTGGAAAATTAGTGAAAAGCTGTAGATTGTGGTGAATGATCCCATGTAACTGAATGATCCTGAGTAACTATAAAGTGCTAAGTGACGCCAATTCGGTAATGAGTTCTTAACCTAAAATCTGCCCTGTGGCGTTTAATATGAGGCTTCATTAATCACTTCAGTGAGCCTACGTATAGCCGTAGCCTCCCAGCAAGGTGAGACTGCAGAAACCATGTAAGTTGTTTATTTATTTATCAATTCAGTTTACTTTCTACGTGAGGTATGACAATAACCCAAGTATTCCAGAAAAAGGATAATCAACCGCCTAAGGAGGTATAAATGCCAGCTTAAGACGACTGATGTGCGGTATAAAACGCACATGTAAGTTGTTTATTTATTTATTAATTCAGTTTACTTTCTACGTGAGGTATGACAATAACCCAAGTATTCCAGAAAAAGGATAATCAACCGCCTAAGGAGGTATAAATGCCAGCTTAAGACGACTGATGTGCGGTATAAAACGGACATGTAAGTTGTTTATTTATTTATCAATTCGGTTTACTTTCTACGTGAGGTATGACAATAACCCAAGTATTCCAGAAAAAGGATAATCAACCGCCTAAGGAGGTATAAATGCCAGCTTAAGACGACTGATGTGCGGTATAAAACGCACATGTAAGTTGTTTATTTATTTATTAATTCAGTTTACTTTCTACGTGAGGTATGACAATAACCCAAGTATTCCAGAAAAAGGATAATCAACCGCCTAAGGAGGTATAAATGCCAGCTTAAGACGACTGATGTGCGGTATAAAACGGACATGTAAGTTGTTTAATTATTTATCAATTCAGTTTACTTTCTACGTGAGGTATGACAATAACCCAAGTATTCCAGAAAAAGGATAATCAACCGCCTAAGGAGGTATAAATGCCAGCTTAAGACGACTGATGTGCGGTATAAAACGCAGTAGTGACCCCCTCGTTAGCCCTTAAGACTTTGCGTTCGGTATTACTTTCCTTCACAACTGTATCTGCGTCTAATAACCGGAGGGAGCCGGTGCATCGCCTAATGAGTTCTTTACGACTAGCTCCTAATTTACTGCTTGTGACTGTTTTTGCGTTGATCCAAAATTTAGCTTCAACGAGTGCCGCTGTGGTAGACTGCAAGAAGAGCACCGGTAGCTGCTGGAAAGAAGGTAAGATCCTCCCAGCAAAAGTTGGTGATTATTTCTAGTGAGTATAGGAAACGCTTGAGGAAAACAGAAGCGACATTGGAGCAGCGTGCTGCGTTCTTTGAGGAAGCTAGAGAATCAAGGACGCAAATTTTATATTGCAGAAGTTTGGTTTGAAACGGAGAAACCGTGATTTTCGGTATTGTATCAATCTCGTTTAATTTCTTGTTAAAATCTCCTTTGCCATATGCGAGAGAAAAGAGATAAATCGTAGTTCGTAATTTCAATGCATTGGAGTGAGTTTGTTCTTTATACTTTGCAGAACTTTAGAGTCATCCTGTTACGCTAAGCCGTGGGCATTTTGAAACGCCCTTCGATGTCTTGATGGGGGAGGGGAGGGGAGGATTGGGAGTGGCGGTGTTCTTCAGTTGCGGTATTTTGGCAAAGAAAATCGTAGATTGGGGAATCGAGATGGACTTTTACGTAATGCAATGTTCGTTACTTGTGTTGTCCGTATAGCTTTGGTGATAGCAAACGAAACTTTATTTCTTCTTTATTGTTCCGTGCTCAGTGGACTTTGTAATCCATTCGTACATCCTTCCCGTTATTTTCCGGACATAATGAGGCTTTTCAAAGCGGAAAATGCCTTGATTTTAAGGCAAATTTGAAACACGCAAGACCCAAAATCAGCATTACGACGAGAAACGTCAGAAATGTCGATTTTTGCGATAAGGTGACAGATAATTTGGACAGTGAGAACCATAGGATCATATCACATATTCAAATGAGAGAGACCAGAGCGTGAAAGTAGCACAGTATGTGAAAAGGAGGGAGAGGAAGTTTGTCAAAAGGTGACATTGTGGGATACGGCACAATCGTTACTCTCATTCCGACACTGCCTTAGCCTGAAATATCAAATTGAACTAGGAGCCCATTATAATGGATTCTTTTTAGGAACTCTTAATGGAAAATTTTCTTACTTAAACAAACATTCAATATTTAAACAACCCACATAAGCCATCTTTACCTCAACAGCCTATTATAAGAATTGCGCCCAGCTGTACAACTGCGGCCAAACGATCAGCGGTGTTTACACAATCGACCCTGATGGTGAAGGTGCCTTCAATGTGTATTGTGACCAAACCACAGACGGAGGAGGGTGGACAGTGTTTCAGAGGAGACTGGATGGTTGCATGGATTTTAACCTGGGTTGGGCAGACTACAAAAAAGGCTTCGGTGATTTCCTTAATGGAGAGTTTTGGCTCGGACTAGAGAAGATCCATCGCCTGACGCAAAACGAGACAGAAAACAGGCTTCGAGTAGATATGGGAGTAACTAAACGCCAAACTGTCTACGCTGAATATTTGTGGTTTGGGATCGGAGACAAGAAAGACAAGTATCGGCTGAAACTCGGAAAAAAATCAAGTGAGTAAATCTGCTTTCTCTAGGTAATCATTATCTAGAGCAGCAGGAAGGCGAAGATGAGAAAAGCATCAAATGTGTAATGTAGGTGACGATTGTATTAAAATTAATATTTACAGTAGTGTGTGCGCGCCTCTCCGAAGAGCTGATTTCTATCACGCTTGCAATTTGTATCAGGGTAAACCTTATCTATATCGAAACTGAGGGCTGAGGGAAACTTCACAGACTCCTGTGTGTTTTGACAATTCATGATATGATGCGAGAACAGAGTTCAGTAATTGTTTTATTACTGACTATTTTTTACAACAATCTACAAAATAGTGTAAAAAATTCTTTTACGAAAAAGAGGCTGGACATCCAAACTCGAAAATACTGCCCGAGGCCGTAGGTATGGGCGGCCGTCACCACCAAAAATACAAGGATGTCAAATAGATCAGCAAATACAAAGATGGTGTAAGGATCAGCTGCAGGATAGCATAGCTAATAAAGGAATGGCATGGCCAAATTATAGACAGTCTAGTTTTCCGTCGTGAAACAGAACACCCTAAACATGAATAGTTTAGCCAAATGAGAAACGGTCTAGTAGCTCATGTTGAGTTGGAACATGAGATTGTGAAATGAACTAGCTCAATTACGAATAGCTTAGCACTCATTTGCAATACAGTACTCAGACGGTGTAGCGTTGAGTTAAACGGCTCAGGGTAACGTCGAGTAGCACAGCGTACGCACAAACGGTGTAGCGTTGCGTCAAATGGCTCAGCTTAATGTAGAATAGTACAGCGTACACACATATGGTGTAGCGCTGCGGGAAATGGCTCAGCGTAATGTCGAATGGTACAGCGTACATAAAAACAGTGTAGCGTTGTGTGAAATGGCTCAGCGTAATGTCGAATGGTACAGCGTACATGCAAACAGTGTAGCGTTGCGTGAAATGGTTTAGCGTAATGTCGAATGGTACAGCGTACATACAAACAGAGTAGCGTTGCGTGAAGTGGCTTAGCATAATGTCGAATGGCACAGCGTACACACAAATGGTGTAGCGTTGCGTGAAATAGCTCAGCGTAATGTAGAATGGTACAGCGTAGACACAAATAGTGTAGCGTTCGGTCGAATAGCTTTGCAAAACATCAGACGCTCTATCTGAACATTAAATTGCTTAGTATTACTTGAAATATTTCGATGTTGTGGCGAATCGTCGTGGCGTGACGTGAAGGCTATTCCATTACTTTATTTGCTATGCTATCCTGCAGCCGATCCTTAAGCCATCTTTGTATTTGCTGATCTATACGACATTCTTGTATTTTTGGTGGTGACGGCCGCCAAGGCATCTCGCCGAAACCACCAAAAATACAAACCGCAAATGGAACAGCGATTTGCTGGGGGTATGACGTCATCGAATGTGAAGACTGACACGAAATCATTACATGGCGTAGTATAGTCTTCACTTCGCTTTGCCGTAAAGCAGAGCCAATTTGGTAAGTTTCTCCTCTTTTTTCACTGCTGATATTGCACTTATTCGTTGTCGTTCATGAAAGCGTCAATTAAAATAGCAACGAGACTTAATTCTACCACGATTTGTCGGCCTCCCGGTTTACCACAGTTTGCACGCGTTGGTGGGCCTGAACATGTTTATAGTATTAAGTAGTGTTATGACGTGCATTAAATGTCAATTGTCGAGCTCTCTTTTCTTTCTCCGACTCACGCTTACTTTTCAATGAGAGTCCAACTTCAACGGCTCTTTGAACATTGGAGGAGTACGTGAGAAGTTAAATATTGTGTGTGCCCTGGACGCCATGGTAAGAAAACTGCTATCCTTGATCTGTTTTGACATTTTTCGATCAAAGTGATATCGGAATGCTTTAATTGGTGTGCCGGACGATAAGAGTAAGCTAAGAGAAGACATATTTATTATTTTAAAAAGGTGTACATTATATTGCTTTGTTTATTAGTTTTTTCCTGGGTGCAGTGATAGTAAAAGTAATTCACCCTAATGCACGTAGTTGTACGTAATTGTCCAACTTTAGATCGAGTTTTACCGTTCGATCTGTTACAGTCGCAACTTGCTGAATAAAAACTATTGCATAATTCAGACAATTGACAGGACATCTTGCTGTTTCGTCGTTTGTTTCGGTAATTTAACTATTAAACTCAACTATTATTAAAATGTGCATTAAATGTCTATTGCCGAGCTCTCATTTCTTTTCTTTTCTGACTTGCGCTTACTTTTCAAAGGGAGTTTAACTTCAACGGTTCTTTGAACATTGCAGGAGTACGTGAGAAGTTGGATTTTGTGTGTGCCCTGGACGCCATGGTCACGCAACTCTAGTCAATATATCTGGTGTGTACTGAACTCAGTCTGTAGCAATAATAATAATAAAAATAATAATAATAATAATAATAATAATAATAATCACAAAAATTAATAGTTAAGGTACAGAAATGTAAAAATAAATAAAAATGTAAATAAATACGTCTACCGAAACAAACGACGAAACAGCAAGATGTCCTGTCAATTGTCTGAATTATGCAATAGTTTTTATTCAGCAAGTTGCGACTGTAACAGAGCGAACGGTAAAACTCGACCTAGAGTTGGACAATTACGTACAACTACGTGCATTACGGTGTCCGCACTAGCCTTCCTTAATACGTGATGACTACGGAATGGGAAAGAGCACAGGGAAGATAAGTATGTATGCGCGCAAAACCAACTCAGAAAAAATATTACTCTGGCAAAAACTATTTTGGAACGCGAAAAAACCCTTTAACTGTTTCCGGTCCAGACATGTAATCTACGTTTGATCGCCAAAGTAAAAATGGAACTTACTTTTACTATCACTGCACCCAGGAAAAAATTAATAAACAAAGCAATATAATGTACACCTCTTTAAAATAATAAATATGTCTTCTCTTAGCTTACTCTCATCGTCCGGCACACCAATTAAAGCATTCCGATGTCACTTTGATCGAAAAATGTCAAAACAGATCAAGGATAGCAGTTTTCTTACCATGGCGTCCAGGGCACACACAATATTTAACTTCTCACGTACTCCTCCAATGTTCAAAGAGCCGTTGAAGTTGGACTCTCATTGAAAAGTAAGCGTGAGTCGGAGAAAGAAAAGAGAGCTCGACAATTGACATTTAATGCACGTCATAACACTACTTAATACTATAAACATGTTCAGGCCCATCAACGCGGCAAAGCGAAGTGAAGACTATACTACGCCATGTAATGATTTCGTGTCAGTCTTCACATTCGATGACGTCATACCCCCAGCAGATCGCTGTTCCATTTGCGGTTTGAATTTTGGTGGTTTCGGCGAGATGCCTGGGCGGCCGTCACCACCAAAATACAAGGATGTCGTATAGATCAGCAAATACAAAGATGGCTTAAGGATCAGCTGCAGGATAGCATAGCTAATAAAGGAATGGCATAGCCTTCACATCACGCCACGACGATTCGCCACAACATCGAAATATTTCAAGTAATACTAAGTAATTTAATGTTCAGATAGAGCGTCTGATGTTTTGCAAAGCTATTCGACCTAACGCTGCACTATTTGTGTCTACGCTGTACCATTCTACATTACGCTGAGCTATTTCACGCAACGCTACACCATTTGTGTGTACGCTGTGCCATTCGACATTATGCTAAGCCACTTCACGCAACGCTACACTGTTTGTATGTACGCTGTACCATTCGACATTACTCTAAGCCATTTCACGCAACGCTACACTGTTTGTATGTACGCTGTACCATTCGACATTACGCTGAGCCATTTCACACAACGCTACACTGTTTTTATGTACGCTGTACCATTCGACATTACGCTGAGCCATTTCCCGCAGCGCTACACCATATGTGTGTACGCTGTACCATTCTAAATTACGCTGAGCCATTTGACGCAACGCTACACCGTTTGTGCGTACGCTGTGCTACTCGACGTTACCCTGAGCCGTTTAACTCAACGCTACACCGTTTGAGTACTGTATTGCAAATGAGTGCTAAGCTATTCGTAATTAAGCTAGTCCATTTCACAATCTCATGATCCAACTCAACATGGGCTACTTGACCGTTTCTCATTTGGCTAAACTATTCATGTTTAGGGTGTTCTGTTTCACGACGGAAAACTAGACTGTCTATAATTTGGCCATGCCATTCCTTTATTAGCTATGCTATCCTGCAGCTGATCCTTACACCATCTTTGTATTTGCTGATCTATTCGACATCCTTGTATTTTTGGTGGTGACGGCCGCCCATACGTAGGCCGTAGGGCAGCATTTTCAAGACCGAGATCACAGTTTTTCAACATACGGACCGACCCTTAGCCGGTAAATAACATATTTATTGTTTTGAAACTTGAAGAAATTCTTTCCGAAAGAACCCGAATGATTTAGGGCTGTAAATACGGCAATATCTTCCATAAACTGAACGGTTTTTGAGCGAGTAAATGGTAGTTAAAATAGAGGTGACGCAAATTCAAGAGAGATGCCTTAGTGAAACATTTTCATATCCGTAACGATAATTTAAAAGGCTTCCAAACAAACTTTGAAACATTATTTTTACAAGTATCTGTCACAATCTGACACCTGTCAATTAGAGAGTGCGTAAGTAAAACAAGCGTAAGAGCATTTGAAAAACAACGGAACTAGTTTGGCAAGGACTGTCACGACAATGTTTTCTTCTCCTAAAGAGTCAATGATCTAACGGAAAGTATAATTCACTCTCATCGACGACTCATTTATGTACGAAGATTTACCTCTGTTCAATAAGTAAACGGCGAGGAAAGTGATTGTGAGTAAATTCAAATTTATTATTTTGAAGTTGTGAGAGTTTGCTCGTTTGTTTGCTGCAATGGCGTGTGTAAATCTGGTCTTTCCTTCACAAAAACTAAATTCGAATGGCACACTCCAACGAGACACAAGGGGATTTAATACGGCCTTTTCTAAAAAAAATTCCTGCAGTTTCTGTTGTGCAATTTACGGTACAAATGTTCAAATTGAACGGACTTGGAAAGACTCACCGAGAGCGTATATTTGTTGTAGAACTTAAATTAAAACTTCGCTCGCTCTTTCACTGCGAACAAATTGCTAGAGAAAATTCAGGTATTAAATGAATGAAAGTTCCATCGTTCAGTTTAACTGTAACCAAATACCTGACGCTTTAACTTTCTAGGTACTTTTTGTGAACGATAAAAATTAATTGCAGACGGGTTTTAGGCCGCTTGTCAACCAACGTAATGTCACTATTGTTTTTACAAATTCATTCTGAAACCAATATTTTCTGTCAACCAAAGTGATTTGAGTGAGAGAAAAGAGAGGATTCATAAGTTATTCATCGGCTTGAGGTAGTGACCGACGTGTTTGCTTAAAAATACTGCTCAGCCGGAAAAACGAGATATGTTTATGAAAAATGGCAACGAAAGTTGGGATGTACTTGGCGACTCACGAAAGCGTTACCGTGGCCCGTGGGCAGAGATAGGAAAATACTGACCGGGTAAAGAACCAATTAGATTGCAAGATTCGTTACCGTACCCTCTCAAAAAAAATAATAAATTGGGTTATCCTATTACTTCACACGATTTTGTATATGGACTGAATTCTCTAGGCCAATCAGAGTTTCCAATGTAAGTCAAATTTACAATAAAGAGTATCGTCATCATCATCATCATCATCATCATCATTATCATTATACTTTATCACTACAATTGTTATAATTATTGGTGTTTTATCATTGCTATTAGAATGTGCGACTGTCAATGATTCTCTCAGTGATCATAAAGGCTCCCCGTTTGGTACCTGGGACAAAATTTACAAGCATTGTACCCATAAGATTTATGGAGGCTGGTGGTATATCAACAATACTGAATGTGCTGTTTCGTCAAATCTCAATGGTTTTATCATTATTGTAAAAGAGAAAAAAGGAACATGAGCGGGACCTTGGCCGAGCGAAAGATTCACTGGAGTAATTTATCTGGCACAGCAAGTAAAACCAGTCCAGTAACATCTGAAATGAAAATAAAACCTGTGGATTTACCTTTTAAGTGTTAAAACACTTTATTGAACACATATAATCGTTCAATTGGCGTCTAGTCGATTTCTTGATTAATAAATACGTTATTTGAGTCAAACTTGTTATTGAAGAATTTACTTTAGAATTTGTTTCTCTCCCGCGGGTGCGGGTGGGGATTGTTAGATATGTATTTTATTACTAAAATAAATAAGTTTTTGTTGTTTTTGTTTTGTAATATGACTGTGGGAGTTGGGAAATTGATGAGACTATTAAACCATCTATTAAATAACGATGTGTGGCCTTAAATATTTCATTTAGAGTTCTTTCTTCAAACCAAGCGATTTCCTCGATCCCTTACTACGCACAAAGAGTAAGGGCGAACTTTCGATGAGGCATAACCTTCAGTTGCTACTAAACATGTACCAAAATACTGAAACCATCGAAGAAGGCTTTCCTGGCTGACTTGATCAATTTAAAAGCATGGAATGAGCGAAAGACAGCTTTAGAATTTAGAATTTCGGGTAGACAAAGCTCTTCTGGGCAATTGGGTGATCGTCTGACTAGGAAACGTTTTCAATAGATCTCAAGCCCAATCCCATGTAAATTTTTGTAGGACTTTTCTCTCCCGGTGAGACCACAGGCAGACCACACTATGAGTTCGTGGTTAATAATTGCAGATATAAGGCGTGCGAAATCCATAAAGGTTATGAATAAAGCTCTGAAAATTACATATCTAAATTACACCTCGGTCGGTCTGAATGTCTCAATAAAGTTAGATAAAATATTTATCAACTAGTTTGTGGTATTTTTTCACCTTCATGGGCCGTTTGAAAAGTCTTTTTATTACGAAATTACTTCCGACAAAGATAATTTTGGAAGAATTTACAGAAATGACGGATAATATCATTTCTGTGATAATTAAGTTTCAAATCTTAAACAACTTTTCCCACCCTCTAAAGTTCACCTTCACACAAAGCAAATACTCTTCTCTTCACGAGATTTTGCATATAGTAAAAACTTTCATTTAAAAAGAATAATAAACAACGTGGCGCCTGACTTTCATTGAAAAGTACCGTATTTTATTTGTTTTAAGCGCCCTGTGCGCTTATCAAATTTTTGGACCTTGAGAGCCGGGACGTTTATCCGATGTGGGCGCTTACTGCCCTTATTCGAGGCTAGGCGCCTCTTGAACTTTCACCACTTTCAGCAAGGAGTTAATTTATTTTGCAACTAAATGATACATGATAACAAAAGATGACGATGTACCATATGGGAGTGAATTTATAGTTTGTGAGCCATTAAAGAAATTTTAATACTCCCCTGATGCATTTCAGTTTCCGCTTATTCGAAGCACTGGGCGCTCATTAACTCTCTCCAGGCGTTTATTCGAGGTAGCTGCTTACAAATGGTACCATTCTTGCAAAAAGCAAAATCATGATTTAGTAAAAAGTCTAAATAAAAAAGCGTTTAATAGAAAATAAAAGAAGGCCAAAGAAAGCAGAAGACTACACAGATGGTGCGACATGGACGCAAACCGAAATCAGCAGCGACTTCAGCCAATGAGAGATGCGATGACACCTGAGAAACCTCCTATCAATCAATCAATCAATCAATCAATTAATCAATCGTTTCCTTGGAGGAATTAAAAAAAAAATGGTTAAGCTTTAATCATCTCACCCTTCTGAAATTGTACTTACCAAAATTTAATTAAAAAAAAAATAAAAAAGCGTTTAAAAGAAAATAAAAGAAGGCCGAAGAAAGCAGAAGACTACACAGATGGTGCGACATGGACGCAAACCGAAATCGGCAGCGACTTCAGCCAATGAGAGATGCGATGACACCTGAGAAACCTCCTTTCAATTAATCAATCAATCAATCAATTAATCAATCGTTTCCTTGGAGGAATTTAAAAAAAAATGGTTAAGCTTTAATCATCTCACCCTTCTGAAATTGTACTTACCAACATTTAATTTTATTATCTTTAATGTATGATCCAAGAACTGATCTACCCTAGGTGATAAAAAACTGAGGGAAAGAAGAAAGAACCGAGAAATTTTTTTCTAAAATGAAATTTCTACATTTTTTACAGGATCGTCGCTACTAAACCTTATCTAAATCTGGAACTGAAGGTCTTTCCTCAGAAATCTGAAAAAAGGCGAAAATTTAAATTAATCTCACCTTCTGAAAAGCCTTTTACTCGTGAGTTTAAATTTTAACAGGGAGAGTTTTTATCTTGTCCGAACTCTTGATCCAACCGCTCTCTGTGTTTAGATTTAGTTAAATCATTTCTTAAGCCGAGTTCCCTACACGTTTTTTTGTCAACCTCTTTGAAAAATATTGGTTTGATGATTCGTATAGTTGAATACAACATAAGTGCGTTGAAGATGCGTTGGCGATCGATGTACGAAGGCTTATAGCTCATATTTGTGATTACATCGGAAGCCATGCAAAGGTCTTGTCCACCAGATAATACCAAAATGTTCTGAAAAAGTACTACAAGCTAACTTAAAAGTTTGCTAGAACGTTCACCGATTATCTGCCATCAGTGGACAATCTTCGCTCTTTGCTGATTTCTGAGACGATTGTTCCAGCTTTGTGCTTTTTTCAGATCCTCTTTTTGTTCTGCCATGAGCTTCTCCAGAACAGCATACTCCACCTCCATTGTCTGATAACTCCAACTTAAGTCCTCCAGCCGCTGGACAATATCGACGTACCAGTGGTTCTTTAGAGAGCTGTCACGGCGCGAGTTCAGGGTTGGAAACTCCGATGGAGGGAGAACCGTTGTTGACAAATTGATATGTTGAATTTACGCCATCGGTTGCCATGGTTTCCTATGAAGTAAGAAATTCATAATAAGGCGACTTTTGCGAAGATTCTTATTTGTCAATTAATGGTTTCTGTCAGTCAACTGACCAGCAAGATAGTCAATCAGTCAGTAAGGTAGTCAGTTACTCTGTCAGTTAGTCAATCAGTCAGTCAGTCTACATGCATTTCCCATGCACGCGTCATAGCAGTGCTTATTACGCATAAGGATTTTACTTCACTGTAACTGCAGCTTGCATCTGTAATGAAAGCATTCGCAAATAACATATTGAATATCACTTCGTTATCCTGCAAAATTTTGGTAAAAGTTTCGTGTGCATCAATATGATCCACTCAAAGAGCGAATTGTCCTGGATTCTTGAAGCTTTTGTGAAGCGTTTCGTAATTCATGGCCATAACTTTTAACAAGAACTTGCCAAGACGAAAACGTGTAGTTATGTTGATTTGTTTCAGCCGACAACACACATAATCAAAAGATAATTGCCTCTAATTTAGACAGAAAGCCACAAAAAAGACTGTGCTAATGAAGGCAATTAATGTACCGTTGTTTAACATCAACAGGTCAAAAAGTTTGGAAACAAATCAAAACATAAGTATCTTTTAAGCGGAGTAAAAATCTAGGTCAGTTCTTCTTCATTAGAGAGAGCGTGAACAAGTAGTTGAGTATCTGTACTCAGTTTACCAAGTCTTATTTACAGTGTACATGGGCAGAACGCGTTAGCTGAGGTTCTTAACATTCTCGAGATTTTATATCGCGCCGTTCTTTTGTGTGAATTGTTCTGTGAGTGAGTCAACTCTTTGTTTTAAAAGGGCCTCTTTCAAAATGTTTTCTTTCTTTTCGCAGTTGGCTTCCATTTGTGAGAGTGTACGTATGTCGATCCCTACAGGTCTCAAACGACTCGACCTCCTTGAAGAGCAAAATTTGGAGCCTTGATTTAAATAAGATAAGAACACAGTTTACAGTGTACTCAGTTTACAGATTTAATGAATGTAACCGAAGAAGTTACAATTCATAGACCCAACGTTTCGACACTCCTGTCTAGTGCCTTCATCAGGGGTGATCCAAACGCTGCAACAAGAGGTCCTTTTAAATGATAACTAATTAGCCGCCTTTTTTCTGACGAGGTGTAAATAGGCGTCAGGAAGCAAGCCGCCATCGTCACGATTTAAAGGAGCGTGGGCGGAGTTAATATACCAGGCCTCCAAACATAGGCGCTGGTGGTCACAGTATGAAATTATAAATTTACGAATCCGTAAAGATGCCGTAAAGTAAGTGTAAGATCCTTTATACGCGTCTTATAGAACTTCTTTACACTCTCGTAAAGAATGTCTTTACGCATTGAAAACGATATTACGTAAAGATCACGGAGAGACTAAAAACATTATCTTTACGTGCCCTTGTTTAAAGTCGTATAAAGAATATTTACGATATTTTACGGTGACTGTAAAGCGACCAGAAGGCGATCTTTACGCGTTATTAAACTATCGTAAATGGACAATATTTACATGCCCATTTGCCATTTTGTAGTCGTCTGAATTTTTTGGCAACATTCCCTTTTACTAATCAGACTATAACAAATGTGAGCTAGTGACAACATCAGCGAAATGCGCTATCTTAGTGCGTATTGCCACTCTCGGAAAGAATGTCTTTACGCATTGAAAAAGATAGTACGTAAAGATCACGGAGAGACTAAAAACGTTATCTTTACGTGCCTTTTTAAAAGTCGTATAACGAATATTTACGATATTTTACGGTGACTGTAAAGCGACCAGAAGGCAATCTTTACGCGTTATTAAACTATCGTAAATGGACAATATTTACATGCCCATTTGCCATTTTGCAGTTGTCTGAATTTTTTGGCAACATTCCCTTGTGCTTATCAGACTATAACAAATGTGAGCTAGTGACAACATCAGCGTAATGCGCTATCTTAGTGCGTATTGCCAAAAATCGTATGGAGAATGTTTGTGATATTTTACGCTTCTGTAAAACGATGCCACACATGCCTTTCAAGGACTGACCCATATATAACAACACGTGTTTTATACATTGGAATTTATATTATTGTCATAACCCTTTAACTTGATTTTGTAATTTTCACAGTAACGTAGTAAGAGGTTTATATACACGGGATAAGAACTGAAAAATACAAATATCATAAATATAAATATTTTTACATAGATATACAAAATGTCTCATTGGTTTCGCACAGCTTATAGGCACATGGACCTTTGAGTTACCTTTCTTTGATTCCGTTTCCTTGCTGCCCGAGTTGTTCTCGGCGACAAGTTTACACAAAGATTCCACTTTTTTTGAAAGCTCTTCGAACTTTAACTAAGGCATTTTCTTCATCGTGCTGCCTCAATTGCTCTCTCAATGATTGGTTTTCTTTCAAACTATCATCCAATAGCACAGTATAACTGTCGCTCACGCTGATGAGGTCGGAAATTCTTGACATTTTGAAAGAAAAAGAGTCCACAGATCACTTCACACGCCAAAAGTAAAGCCAGGAGTAAAGGTCGGAAATTCTTGACAATTTGACTTCCGCTCAGGTTGTCGAAACGTCAGTCACCATTACCGACAACAGTCCTTCTCAGGACTACACTCACCCGGACTACACTATTACATGTTAACCTCGGGTTCAAACCATTTACTGTACTAAATCACCTGTTATACTCTCCCGCCGATCTGCGGCAGCCTCGTTTCTATGTATTTTCGTCCCCAGGGACTCTTCATCAAACGTCCCGAGGACTAAAACCATTGACAGTCGGATCTTAAAGTTCGACAATCTTATTATTACAAACATCAGAGCATCACGCTTCCATACGTCATTGCAAGGTCCATTTGCTGGAAAAAAAAAATGATTGTCTCATCACGACAACTTCCTGATCATGAGTTTGAACGCGCGTTAAAAAAAGGGTAGTTTAAACATATTTATGCTGTTTACACCTTGTCAGAAAAAAAAAGGCAGCTAATTTGAGATCATATAAAAGGACCTCTTGTTGCAGCGTTTAGTTCACCCCTGGTGAAGGCACCAGACAGGAGTGTCGAAACGTTGGGTCTATGAATTGTAACTTCTTGGGTTACATTCATTAAATCTGTAAACCAGAGTAGCATCAAACCATGTCTGATTGTCCAGCTGGTTGCCGTGTGAACCTCAATATATTTTAAGTTCTTGTAGAAATAGGAACGGTAGAAGGATAGGATGAAGGCCTTTTCAAATTAAGCAAATTAGGCGCTCGGCCTGGTTTTGAACCAGGGAGGGTTGCCACGGGAAGTTGCTGCACAAAATTTGAAACGGCCTGCATGCTTTGGTCGCAGAGTTTGGCACCAATCATATTTAGAAAGATACACTCTTTCATTTCAGGATCGATTTTCTCAGAAAATGTCTGAGGGATGAAGCTCAAATTTGGCGAAGACATAGAGCAATATCTCAGAGATCAACAACCGTCACCAGTTAGGAGAGATTTTTAGGCATTAATTCCAGTTTGAAGTAGGGGAGGTCGCGGCTGTCGGCCACTAAGTTGCAAGCCTTGTCTCCCTTCTCTCAACAGCCTTCGGCCAGAAGTAATTTGGTAAAAGACACTTCAAACGGCCAATGAAGGCTAAAAGAAATACCACAAATAAGTTGATTAACAGCTTATTTAACTTTATAGAGATATTCAGACCGAGATGTAATTTAAATTTGCAATTTTCAGGGCTTTATTCATGACCCTCTAGATTTTGTTCGTCCTATGTCAACAATTATTAACCACGAAAATATATTGTGGTTGGCCCGTGGTAGCTCTAAGAGCAGCGAGGAAAAAGTTTTTAAACAGGGAAAATACTACGAACCTGCTCTTTTTGAGCGGAATCATAAACTTTTTGGATTTATTCCACAAGGGCACTAATTCCCTTAAAAAATTCTAGAAATAAAAGGAAAAAAAATTCATGTTACTATCCCGTTTGATAGCACTAGTTATGCAAATTAACGATAAGTATCGTAGGTGGCACTTTATCAAAACTGTAATTTACAGAAAGCATTGCCACAGTGCTACATAGTTCTACATTGTTACGTTTTTCTGAGCTATTTCTTTACTCTGACTTCATCCTTTATATCAGTGAAACTAATATGCCATCATCGACTTTGGAAAATTAGTGAAAAGCTGTAGATTGTGGTGAATGTGGTGAATGATCCCATGTAACTGAATGATCCTGAGTAACTATAAAGTGCTACGTGACGCCAATTCGGTAATGAGTTCTTAACCTAAAATGAGGCTTCATTAATCACTTCAGTGAGCCTACGTATAGCCGTAGCGTCCCCCGCAAGGTGAGACTGCAGAAACCATGTAAGTTTATTTATTTATCAATTCAGTTTACTTTCTACGTGAGGTATGACAATAACCCAAGTATTCCAGAAAAAGGATAATCAACCGCCTAAGGAGGTATAAATGCCAGCTTAAGACGACTGATGTGCGGTATAAAACGCAGTAGTGACCCCCTCGTTAGCCCTTAAGACTTTGCGTTCGGTAATACTTTCCTTCAAAACTGTATCTGCGTCTAATAACCGGAGGAAGCCGGTGCATTGCCTAATGAGTTCTTTACGACTAGCTCCTAATTTACTGCTTGTGACTGTTTTTGCGTTGATCCAAAATTTAGCTTCAACGAGTGCCGCTGTGGTAGACCGCAAGAAGAGCACCGGTAGCTGCTGGAAAGAAGGTAAGATTCTCCCAGCAAAAGTTGGTGATTATTTCTATGAGTATAGGAAACGCTTGAGGAAAACAGAAGCGACATTGGAGCGGCGTGCTGCGTTTTTTGAGGAAGCTAGAGAATCAAGGTTGCAAATTTTATATTGCAGAAGTTTGGTTTGAAACGGACAAACCGTGATTTTCGGTATTTTATCAATCTCGTTTAATTTCTTGTTAAAATCCCCTTTGCCATATGCAAGAGAAAAGAGATAAATCGTATTTCGTAATTTCAATGCATTGGAGTGAGTTTGTTCTTTATACTTTGCAGAACTTTAGAGTCATCCTGTTAAGCTAAGCCGTGGGCATTTTGAAGCGCCCGTCGATACCTTGAGGGGGGAGGGGAGGGGAGGATTGGGAGTGGCGGTGTTCTTCAGTAGCGGTATTTTGGCAAAGAAAATCGTAGATTGGGGGATCGAGATGGACTTTCACATCCTGCAATGTTCGTTACTTGTGTTGTCCGTAAAGCTCTGGTACTAGAGAACCAAACTTTATTTCTTCTCTTGCGTGTTTCAAATTTGCCTTAAAATCAAGGCATTTAAATCAAGGCATTTTCCGCGTTGAAAAGCCTCATTGTGTCCGGAAAATAACGGGAAGGATGTACGAATGGATTACAAAGCCCATTGAACACGAAACAATAACTTATTGTATCCTTATTGTATCCTTCCCGTTATTTTCCGAGGAAGGCTTTGCTTCAAGGCTTTTCAAAGCGGAAAATGCCTTGATTTAAATGCCTTTTGGCAAAAAGGCAAATTTGAAACACGCAAGATCAGCATTACGACGAGAAACGTTAGAAATGTCGATTTTTGCGATAAGCTGACAGAATTTGGACAGTGAGAACCATAGGATCATATCACATATTCAAATGAGAGAGACCAGAGCGTGAAAGTAGCACAATATGTGAAAGGGAGGGAGAGGAAGTTTATCAAAAGGTGACATTTCGGGATACAGTACAATCGTTACTCTCATTCCGACACTGCCTTAGCCTGAAATTTCAAATTGAACTAGGAGCCCATTATAATGGACTCTTTTTGGGAACTCTTAATGGGAATTTTTTTTTACTTAACAAACATTCAATATTTAAACAACCTACATAAGCCATCTTTACCTCAACAGCTTATTATAAGAATTGCGCCGAGCTGTACAACTGCGGCCAAACGATCAGCGGTGTTTACACAATCGACCCTGATGGTAAAGGTGCCTTCAATGTGTATTGTGACCAAACCACAGAAGGAGGAGGGTGGACAGTGTTTCAGAGAAGACTGGATGGTTGCATGGATTTTAACCTGGGTTGGGCAGACTACAAAAAAGGCTTCGGTGATTTCCTTATTGGAGAGTTTTGGCTCGGACTAGAGAAGATCCATCGCCTGACGCAAAACGAGACAGAAAACAGGCTTCGAGTAGATATGGGAGTAACTAAACGCAAAACTGTCTACGCTGAATATTTGTGGTTTGGGATCGGAGACAAGAAAGACAACTATCGGCTGAAACTCGGAAACAAATCAAGTGAGTCAATCTGCTTTCTCTCGGTAATCATTATCTAGAACAGCACGAAGGCGAGGATGAGAAAAGCATCAAATGTATAATGTAGGTGACGGTTGTATTAAAAATTAATATTTACAGTAATGTGTGCGTGCTTCTCCTAAGAACTGATTTCTATCACACTTGCAATTTGTATCCGGGTAAACCTTATCTACGGAAGCCGAGGGCTGAGGGAGATTTCACAGACTCCTGCGTGGTTTGACAATTCATGATATGATGCGAGAACAGAGTTCAGTAATTGTTTTATTACAGGCTATTTTTTATAAAAATCTAAAAGATAGAGTAAAAAATCCTTTTATGAAAAGGAGGCTGGACTCCAAACTCCGTAAAAAAATTTATATGGAGCCTGTTAAATTAACCCGGACATTTAGCTTGAATAAATTATCTGAAACTTTCACATTTCAAAACAAAGGGGTAACGAACTTAAGTGATAGAAAGTTAAGCTTGAACTTGAATTCCGAAAAGCAACAAAAAAAGGTACGTGAGAGAATCCACGTCAGTTTCAAAGTCAAGGTTAGAATTCTTTGATGCGATTGGCTAATTTGTGAAAATCACGCGCTACGTGTGAACACAAAATGGAGTACCAAGGGGGAGATGGAGAGAAAAAAAAATTTGATTTGAAATTTAAAACGTAAGGGAATTTCACTTCTCTCTGAGTTTGAAAAAGTTTGAGAACGCTACACGCTTAAGGAGCTTGGAAACCAGGCAAACTTTGAGCTGGAGTTGATAAATGCAATATATGCTGCAGATATCGGGTTATCCTGTCAACTTCACACGATTTTGTATATGGACTGAATTCTCTCGGCCAATCAGAGTTTCCAATATAAGTCAAATTTAAAAGTAAGAGTATCGTCATCATTATCATCATCATCATCATCATCATTATCATTATACTTTATCACTATAATTGTTATAATTATTGGTGTTTTATCATTTCTATTAGAATGTGCGACTGTCAAAGATTCTCTCAGTGATCATAACGGCTCCCCGTTTGGTACCCGGGACAAAGTTAACAAGCATTGTAGCCATGAGATGTTTGGAGGCTGGTGGTACATCAACAATACTGACTGTGCTGTTTCGTCAAATCTCAATGGTGCTCATCATTGTAAAAAGAGAAAAAGGAACATGAACGAGACCTTGGGCGAGCTAAAGATTCACTGGGGTATGTTATCTGACACTGACGCAAGTCGCACCAGTCCACTAACATCGGAGATGAAAATAAAACCTGTGGATTTACCTTTTAAGTGTTAAAACACTTTATTGAACACATGTAATCGTTTACTTGGCATCTAGTCGATTTCTTGATTAATAAAATACGTTATTTCAGTCAAACTTGTTATTGAAGAATTTGCTTTAATATTTGTTTCTCTAAAGGTAATTTGGAAGAATTTACAGAAATGACGGATAATATCATTTCTGTGATAATTAAGTTTCAAATCTTAAACAACTTTTCCCACCCTCTAGGCGCCTGTTCAATTTTCACCACTTTTAGCTAGGAGTTAATTTATTTTGCAACTAAATAATACATGATAACAAAAGGTGACGATGTACCACAGGGGAGTGAATTTATAGTTTGTGAGCCAGTAATGAAATTTTAATGCTCCCCTGATGCATTTCAGTTCCGCTTATTCGAAGCGCTGGGCGCTCATTAACTCTCTCTGGGCGTTTATTCGGGGCAGCTGCTTACAAATGATAACATTCTTGCGAAAAGAAAAAGCATGATTCAGTAAAAAGTCTAAATAAAAAAGCGTTTAAAAGAAAATAAAAGAAGGCCGAAGAAAGCAGGAGACTACACAGATGGTGCGACATGGACGCAAACCGTAATCACCAGCAACTTCAGCCGATGAGAGATGTGATGAGACCCGAGAAATCTCCTATCAATCAATCAATCAATCAATCAATCAATCAATCAAACCAATCAATCAATCGTTTCCTTAGAGGAATTAAAAAAAAATGGTTAAGCTTTAATCATCTCATCCTTCTGAAATTGTACTTACCAACATTTGATTTTATTATCTTTAATATATGATCCAAGAACTGATCTACCCTAGGTGATAAAAACAGATGGAAAGAAGGAAGAACCGAGAAATTTTTTTCTCAAATGATTTTTCTACATTTTTACAGGATCGTCATTACTAAACCTTATCTAAAGCTGGAACTAAAGGTTTTTCCTCAGAAACGTGAAAAAAGGCGAAAATTTAAATTAGTCCCACCTTCTGAAAAGCCTTTTACTCTTGAGTTTACATTTTAACAGGGAGAATTTTTATCTTGCCCGAACTGTTGATCCAACCGCTCTCTGTGTTTAGATTTAGTTAAATCAATTTCAAAGCCGAGTTCCCTACACGTTTTTTTGTGAACCTCTCTGAAAAATATTGATTGGATGATCCGTATAGTTAAGTACAACATAAATGCGTTGAAGATGCGTTGGCGATCGATGTACGAAGGCTTATAACTCATATTTGTGATTACATCAGAAGCCATGCAAAGGTCTTGTCCACCAGATAATACCAAAATGTTTTGAAAAAGTACTACAAACTGACTTAAAAGTTTGTTAGAACGTTCACCGATCATCCGCCATTAGTGGGCAATCTTCGCTCTTTGCTGATTTCTGAGACGATTGTTCCAGCTTTGTGCTTTTTTCAGATCCTCTTTTTGATCTGCCATGAGCTTCTCCAGAAAAGCATACTCCACCTCCATTGTCTGATAACTCCAACTTAAGTCCTCCAGCCGCTGGACAATATCGACGTACCAGTGGTTCTTTAGAGAGCTGTCACGGCGCGAGTTCAGGGTTGGAAACTCCGGTGGAGGGAGAACCATTTTCTCGTTGTTTACAAATTGATGTAGTGTAGAATTTAAGCCATCGGTGGCCATGGTTTCCTATGAAGTAAGAATTTCATAATAAGGCGACTTTTGCGAAGATTCTTATTTGTCAATTTATGGTTTCTGTCAGTCAACTGACCAGCAAGATATTCAATCAGTCTGTAAGGTAGTCAGTTACTCTGTCAGTTAGTCAATCAGTCAGTCAGTCTACACGCGTTTTCCATGCACGCGTCATAGCAGTGTTTATTACGCATAAGGATTTTACCTCACTGTGACTGCAGCTTACATCTGAAATGAAAGTGTTCGCAAATAACATATTGAATATCACTTCGTTATCCTGCAAAATTTTGGTAAAAGTTTCATGTACATCAATATGATCCACTCAGAGAGCGAATTGTCATGGATTCTTGAAGCTTTTGTGAAGCGTTTCGTAATTCATGGCTATAACTTTTAACTAGAACTTGCCAAGATGAAAACGCGTATTTATTTTAATTTGTTTGAGCCGATAACACACATAATCAAAGGATAATTGCCTCTTATTTAGACAGAAAACCACAAAAAAGACTGTGCTAATGAAGGCAATTAATGTACCGTTGTTTAACATCAACAGGTCAAAAAGTTTGGAAACAAATCACAACATAAGTACCTTTTAAGTGGAGTAAAAATCTAAGTAAGTTCTTCTTCATTATAGAGAGCGTGAAGAAGTAGTTGAGTATCTGTACTCAGTTTACGAAGTCTTATTTACAGTGTACGTGGGCAGAACGCGTTAGCTGAAGTTCTTAACATTCTCGAGATTTTACATCGCGCCGTTCTTTTGCGTGAATTGTTCTGAGAGTGAGTAAGTTGTTTGTTTCAAAAGCGTCTCTTGAAAATGTTTTCTTTCTTTTCGCAGTTGGCTTCCATTTGTGAGAGCGAACGTATGTCGACCCCTACAGGTCTCAAACGACTCGACCTCCTTGAAGAGCAAAATTTGGAGTCTTGATTTAAATAAGATAAGAAAGGTGGTAAATTTTGAGCTTAGTCGTTGAAGAAAGTGAGATGCTTTTGCTTTTTGTCACATGTGTTGGGATTCAGGTTTTCCTGTCCCACGCTCGACAAAAAAACAAACAAACAAACAAAACCGAAGAAAATGTTCATTAAATTTTGACTTAGTTTTTATGGTTTGACTTCCAACAGGACTTAGGCCTTATAATCGGAGTAACACACAGCTATCGTGTAATCATTTAAGTATCCACTTTCCAAAATAAACAGTAGTCTGTTAAAGCCAGTCGTTTAGGTTGTTTAGTTTTTTGGCGCTTTGGATCGTTTTCAGCCGAATACTGATTTCGAAACTTTGTTCTCCCATGATCTAGCTTAAAATGTCTACACTCGTTTGCAAAAACGTCGACACCTAAGTAGCGTGATCCATAAACAATCAGACACATGGGCTTCATGAGAAATACTCGCGCAGTTACATAACAATTTAGCAGTTCTTTTTACATCATTCATGAAAATCTTTGTTTACAATAACTCTTTTCTTTACCACGTGCAACCACTTGTGGTTCTTTAACCAAAGAGTTTTGGGGCAAAATCAGTACAGAGTTATCGAGAAATAATTATCAAGCCTTTCTGAATTTGCATTTTAATGTACCAGTCAGCGGTATTCCCGCCCAAAACAATATTGAATTTGAACTAATCTGTCGAGGTAGATCTTCTTCGGGTATCAATGTTGTCATCGATATTTCTAGTTTACTTTAGGCTTCTCATTTAAGAACAATTATTTTTTTAACATATCCCGTACAGTATAAAAAATTTCCCTTTTCATTTTTCACCGACTTCTCTTCTACATATTTGAGAGCAAATTTTCCAACAATAGAGAAATCTCATTTCACTTTTTTTTTTCTAGTAATGCAAGTGCACCTTATTGTCATTCTTTTCAAGAAGTATGTTCCTGCAGCGAAGACGTCGAGACGAATTTGTCAAAATTAACATAAATATTCAAAATGAAAAAAATAAAAATAAAACTTGGCGAATCGGGAAGTTTTGGTTGAGTTTTTTGATTTAGTGGCAGTTTGATTTGGCACATGCTTTGGTTTTTCTTTTCGCAACCAAACAATGAACAAATATTCCTTAGCATAAACAATTT